CCTAATTGAGCCCTAATTTAGCTCATTAAATGCCTAACCTAGCCTCATATTTGACTTAACTCTCCTAATGTCAGCCTATTATTGCAGATTAGTACTGTTATCTCTTGGCAGGAAAAGGTCTTCCAGCCTGCCATGCTGAGGAAGTTCTTTCTTTTACCAGTTTAATACAGCTGGTCATGTCTCTAATCAGCTCACATTCAGGCACTACTGCAGCTGCAATTACTGGCTCGAGCTGAAGGTCAAGCATAAAATATTGGAGGGTTTTCCCCACTGTCACCATTATTTATTACTTTCATCTTTCTGGAAGCACAGAATAACACCAGGTTTATGGGGAAAAACCCCTAGAAAGTATTCAAAATATACCCTGTGTATTAATCTGTAAGCAGTATAAAAAGCTTGTGAAATACTGAATACATCATTAAGAATTTATGTGTAACAAGATATCGTGACATATGTATTGTGTATTTTCATCACAATTCATGTATTGTGGTTAGTTTCACTGTAAATGTTTCGTCTTATCGCTCTCTCTTATTTGATCTTCTTAGACTCCCCTGAGGGAGTGTGTGAGGAGTGTGTGTACAGTCTGGAGATGAGTGAGGGAGACGCCAAGCCAACGGAGGTGTATCATGGCTCGGAGCTACAGTGCACTGTCGCTAGTTTGCTTCCTGGTGCAACATATAGCTTCAGACTGAGGGCTGCCAATGAGGCTGGGGTGAGAAACTGTCTGGCTTTTCAAAGCAAGAGTGTGATCAATAATAAAAATGAAAATAAATAAATGAAAGCCATGACGATCTGGTAATTCACCATAAAATCCATTAAAGAACAACAGAAAATCGTAGCTGAAACCTTTTGAAGCTTGATCCAGCCACTTCAATAGGTCAGCCTATAAAAGAAGGGATGTTTTATAACAGATAAGCATGAAATATTGAATTAAATAGCGTTTGTTTACTTATGGCTTTGAAATTTGCTCTGCATATTGAGCACACGAACTTGGGAGCTCTTAATACACATCCAATATTAAGCAACAAGCAGAAAATTCAACTTAAAACCGTAGGTGTAGACACAGACACTGAGAAGTTGGATCAGTGTGCCCTAGAAAATTAACTTAATATTATAAGATTTGATTGTTTTGATTATCCGGTCACCTGAAAGTGAATTAGATGGCGCCAAAACCTCAGCACTGTTGCTTATTGAACAAGATGACTGTGTCTATATTTCACAGCTTTTCAGTTTGGGATTAGAATTAGATTTTCAGCTTTTGTAAACTTTTTTACTGTCTAAATGATTCAACTTTCTCATTTATTTTGTGTCAATCGATCTGTGTCTCCCTTAGTACGGACCATACTCTGAGCCTACAGAGGTGACGACTGCAGCGGGTCCTCCTGCCCAGTGTGGAGTTCCCATAATCACACTCACCAGTAACACCTGTGTAACGCTCAACTGGGAGGTGAGGCAAACCAAAAACACAGCTGCATTTATCAAAGGAAATAAACAATGTATGGAAGGAACAAAAAACAGAGAAGCAAATATAAAAAGACAGGTCACATTTTTTAACACTGCTAAAGAGCTCCAGCATTCCTTTTACTGTTTTTTCTAAAATAAAAAGTCATCTTTTGGGCCTTTTGGTGTTGCTTAGCAGGCTCATTCCTTCTTAAGAATATACCAGCTTGCTGATTTGGCCACTCCTAAAAAATTTTTCCTATCACTTTAAAGGGTATCTTTTTTTTGTTTTTCAGTCTAATAGTCACATTCATCATTTTTTGGTCCCCATACTCCACATATTCCACTGAAAATATACCAAATGAAGGTTGCACACTTTTGATTTATATACCTAATTTGTCATTGGAAAATTAAGGAACAGGCCTCACCTGGCCAGTAACTATGCAACCATGGTATAACTATCAGACTATGCATGGTTATAATGGCTGTAATTTCTAAACAGTTAATGCTGCACTTTTGTTAAAACCTTTGAATTAAGTCTGCACTTTAATCAGATCTTGACCATTTGATTTCAAATCTGCTGTGGTGATTTACCAAGGTTAAATGACAATAAATGTGGGTCCAAATACTTACCTACCTCAATAGACTTAAGTTTAGATGGAAAAAAAATAATCTTGTTTTTCATTTTGGGTTTGCAAAACAAGACCTGAATCCATTAACTTTCAGGTATCTGTTAATTCCATTGAGCTGATTTTGTGTTTCTATTGCAGAGCCCCGAGGGTTCGGGTACAGACATCTCTGAATATCGTTTGGAGTGGGCGAGGGAAGATGAACCCATGGAGCTCATCTACTGCGGATCTGCCACGCAGTGTGAACTGTCAGATTTGACATCTGCCACAAATTACTGCTGCAGGCTACAGGTAGTGCACACACTACTAGATATCCCTACGGTGGATTTAGATGAACATAGGCATACAACATTCACTTATGTTGAAGCCATGCACAGTTAAACTGACAATGAGAAAAGAAGAACGTACTAGTGTATGGAACATAAGCACTTCCAGAAACAAAAGAAATAACTGAATTGTGAGCGTGACAAAAATTCAGCCTGGAAACACGAAACCAAGATGCTGCAACACAAACACTCAGACTCCAGGGAAAGATTGATGGTCATTGATTCAATTTGTATTCTGACCCGTAATGTGGTGCATAAATAAGTGCCGTCTTTCTCCTTCTCCTTCTGTTTGTCTAACTCTCTCCCTTACTCCCTTTCTGTCTTGTACCCTCTGAAGCTATGAATCCAATAACAACATACTTTATGGCTCACATCTTTATAGGATTATTTATAATCGGTTAATAGTTCATAGGTTGACAATCCAAGGTCAACCTACTGTCCTAATAATTGCTTTTCTACATGTATGTGATTTCTCTTTGTCTCTGTGCACTAGAAGTGTACGCCTGTGTGTTCATATCTATACACCTTAAGAAGATTGCAGGAATGGATCACACCAGAGGCGCTGACTTGGTTGAACTCTGTGTGACTCCATACGTTCTATACCTGAATGAACTTGTACTGGTTCATCTTCTGTAGCAGTGTTTCAAATCTGCACAACCTGACACGCAGTTGTTTTATGAGAATGCTTTGAATGGGGGGACGCCAATGTAAGGATAAGTTAAATCAGTTTCTATGTGTTTTTCTAGCCTCTGCAAAATAAATTTGACAGCTGAGAATAAATCCGAGAAACTACTGAAGTATAACTTTTCTTGCTGGACCCAGAGTTATCTAGATAGTTTAATGCTGAGATAAACCGTCAAGGATTTATATATAAGTACAAATTGTAGATTCCTTCTCCTTGGTATCTACTCGTGAATGGTGCTTGGTTGTTTTTGGAAAGTGGCTACAGTGCATTTTTACAAGAAAACAAACACTGCTCATCTGCTTGGATGTGCTAAGTACATTTAATCCATTAATACTGCTTTTTACATGTAACTATTACAAGGTTCACAAATGGATGGAAGGAAGCAATTTATCTACATTTTTTATTTTTAGTTCAAGCTTTCTGAATGGACAAGATGTATATAAAATGCCAATTTTGTCCTTCCTTCCTCCTCTTGAAGTCTGTAAGAGGCAATGAAGGAGACTATTACAACGAGCGATTGAAAGGCATTTAATAGTGGATACTTGAGCTGAATATTAATGTGTTTGACAGCACAAGTAAAGGATTAATGCTCCCATTTAACTTTGTCTTGCTCTTTGTCCTGTGCTTATTAATAAATCCCTTCATATTTATCTTCTTCCCTTATTATTGTTAATCATCATCTGTCTTGGTTTTAGTCCTCACTTATCCCTTTCTTTTTATCCCTCTCCTCACCTGTGTTCTATCACCAGGATCTATCTCAGCACTATCAATCACAGCAGTTTCCCCCCCTCTTCAATCTCTCTCATCCCCTCTGTGTTTCTGTGTCTCCCACTCAGGCGGTCAATCAGGCGGGTGCTGGTCCATATAGTGAGCAGAGCAGTTTCCAGACCCCAGCTACAAATCCTGACCAGGTATCATCCCTTACCCCCCTGGATCTCCCGAGCTCCTCAGAGACGGGCCACTCCCCGTCTACCTGCCTCCACCTGAAGTGGGAGGAGCCAAACTGTAACGGGGCCGAGATTACCTCCTACGTCATCACCCTGGACGACCAAACCATCACTGTGGATTCAGGGACAAGTCACCTTGTCACAGGCCTGCAGCCAGACAGTGAATACAGGTAATGCTAGCTAAACCAAAGCATTTATGCTTGTGTGTGGTGCATTACATGTTAATTACCGTGTGGTTGTGTCCCATTTTTTCATATGCGGTGCCAGCCCATATAAAAAGAAATAAAATGCTGGTGCAAACATATTTGGCGCTCTAATTTTTCCACTTCTTTGTACCTTCCCTCACATCAGTTCCAATAGTTTCATTGATATCCTTCTACGAATATTTATAATTCGTTATAGTGATCCTATAATTATCTATTATACTGGGGGGATGATTGCTATTTTATCACTGATAAATTCAAAAATCACAGCAGAAAAGTAGTGAGAATAGAGGACAGTTAGATTTGTCAGGAGGTTAACGTCAAGTTATGTTGGAGATTACGGCACTGGATTCAGAGGGGTTTACAGTTACGTCTTAGGCTATGATGTAAATTTCCCACTGAAGCATAAATTGGGTGTAAGAAGTGGGTTCATTAGCTCATTTTACACAATCTGTCTCCTTTGGCCATTTGGAGAATGCAGGTTTTACAGCTTCTGCATTGGCTTCTTTTCATACAGACAAGCAGGCTACATCTATTTTTTTTTTATACACATTCTGTATTTAAATAGGGGTAAAATGTTTGATGATTGCATGAGCTTGGATTTCAAACATGTTGTACTCAAGTAGCAGTAAACAGCCACTTAATCATCTTTATGCCCAGCGTTGTTGTGATCCCGCTTGTCTGTGATTGCTTGTAAGTGTGTTTGTGAGCATGCATATGATTGTGCAGCAAGTTCTTTGAATTCTAATTAAAAAAGACAAACAGGGAGGCAGGGTGATCTCCCACCATTGTTTTCATTCTGAGGTTGTTTTTGACCCGGTGTCACTGTCCTCTGTTGCATAATGGCTGCCAGTGAGACACAACATGTGCGAGCCTGTGCGTGTGTTTGTGTGCATTTGAGAGAATCTGTGGGAGCTTTTGTGTGTCCACATAGCTATAATACAGAATACACATTAAGTAAAGCTGCAGTGCAAAGAAGGTGCATTCTGTATTATCAACAATGTCAACCTGAACTTCAAGTAAAGGAGAGAGTTCAATTTGTCCTCTAAAATTAGATGTGTATTTTCACTTTAGTGATTTTCTTGGAGTCATTGAGGTGAGATTTAAATAATTTACCAGTCAGAGGTTCTTGCACTGGTGAAATTATAGTCTCAAGATTGTTCAATTGCTTGTCCCCTAGTTTTTTTTCTCTTGACAGTGTAAAAAAAATATTCATAAATTAAAAATAAATAAATAAACTGCATCTGTTCTGGGCCTAAGATGAAAGTTTGTTAAGGTACAACATGGAGAGGTTGCCTGTCCATCACAGGACTAACAAATAAACATTCACGTTCACTCTCATCATATCTAAATGTAGCCCCACCTATCATCAAAAGCTAAGCCTTATCTTTACGTTGTTCACAATCTCTTATTATCTTTTATCCATATCCTTAATTATCCACTGGATAGATACATGTTGCCCTTTACCTCACAGACACAAACACACAAATGTTTACCTAAGCTACATGAATTATAATGAAAGGTTGCAGTTACAAAGAATCAGTGGTTAAATGTCAGAAGAAAGATACCAACTAGCTGAGGGCCTCTGATATTGATGCTAATAAGCTGATCAGACACTGACAGGAAAACCGCGAAGAACAGAGGGGGCTTCCTGGAAGAAAGGCGGCAGGGGAGTTTGAAAAACAGAAATCCATTTCTCCCAATTCTCTTTAATTAGCAGCTGATCTGTGTGTGTCTGTGTGTCCAGTTGAGTCCATATATTTTTGGCATACGAGTTCAAATGCATGTGCTTAAAATGATGTTTCTCTGTCATTTATAATCTTTATAATTATGTTTTAGGGAATACATTGTAGCATGTAAGTTCTCTCTTTAGCACAAATCTTCTAAAACACCCTGTAGCAGTGATAGCAGTTGCCTAACTTGGTACACATTTAGGGAAAACGTGGACCAGGAAGTCTGACAAATTTAAGGCTTATCATGCAGAGTACGTAGGAGAATGGTAAAAGGCAAAAGGATCCACAAACATCCAAGGTCAAAACTAATATACCACATTAGTGTCCAGCATTGGACAGATAGGTCTGCAAATACACAGAGAGCATTCAAGGTTGCATGGTACAGCACTTTCACGGTCGCGTACTTTGGCTTCTGACTGAGACACATTTCCACAAATATCCAATCAATATAAGATGATAAATAATAAAATAATAATAAACATTTTTACAGCGCAATATTCAACAAATAAATTCTATCTCTTTCTCGCTCTCTCCCATGATTTTTAGTGTGCAGATCCAGGCAGTGAATGCCATTGGCTCCAGTCCCAACAGTTTACCACTGATCGTGAGGACACGCCCTCTCCCGCCACCGCCGCCCCCACTCGAATGCTCAGCGGCTGGCCCTCAAAGCCTGAAGCTCAAGTGGGGCGAAAACACCAGCCACACACGTGCTCTGCTTGCTGATGACATGGTCTACACACTACAGATGGAGGACAAGAACCACAGGTGGAGTATACACGGACCAGTTTATACTGCTCCATCATCATTGTTTACTTGAGGGAATAGGCTGAGTCCAGCTTATTTAAACAACACATTAAAATCTTGGACTCGAAGCTCATATTTACCCATTTATAAACAAAAAGTGGAACACCAAATTAACCTACTAATCCTGTCTCTATGACAGCAATAGACCGAATGATAGTCTGCGTTTATCTATGGAACCGCATGTGTAACAAGGGATTGAAACTATGATGTTGCCCTCAGAGGACTTCTCACCCTATAACCAGTCAATTGATCAAATTAGAACCCAGGTTAAAAATATGCACATCATTGAGAAGAACACACAAATACTAGGAGGACAAAACCAGAGCAGCTGAGGGGAGCCGAGGGAGTGTGTGCATTTAACATTAAAGGTACTTGTGGAGATCTGTGCCTTTTTCTCTGTGTGCAGTAACTAGATGTACCTGGGAGTAGTCATGTTGAGTGGAGCTGGACACAGCAGGGATGCAGCCCCCAACAATCAAGCCTTCATTGAATTGACTGGTCAGACAGCAGTGATAAAAAGAGAAATGGAAAGAGAGTGTTAGCAGACTGAGGAGGAGAGGATGGAAAATAATCATGGACAGGGAGTCAAATACACATCTGGGGGCAAAAAAAGTTCAGGAGGAGGGGATTTTTGCAAGTAGCTAGAGCTAAGAGTATCTGCAATGCATCGCACAAGCCCGTCTGCCCAACTGTCAGTTTGTTTCACTCCCTCCTTTATCCTTCTGGTTGGCCCTTATCAGTGTTTGAATTAAGGTTTGGCTGTATCAAGCTGGCACCTTGACACCCTTGGAATGGGTACCTTAACTGACAGATGGGTCCCTAACTGGCAGGCTGTGGTCTGTTAGCTTCTGTGACACACATACACATAAACAAACATAGAGCTATGCGATCGCTCTCTGCCATACCAAATGCAAACAGCTTTCACAGTTTTGTTTACCCTTTTCTAACTGCCACAGTAATGTTTGTGCATATTTATGTACATTTTTCTTTCTTTGTAATCACGCTTGGATGCAGTTAGGTATATTATGCATTTGTCTGTATGCACCCGATGAAGTTATAGGAGTTGGAGTATTAAACATAGTTGGCAACTAAACTAAAGGTTAATTTGTCTTTTTTCCCCCCCAAGTGTTTATGCTATAGACTTAGGGATGAGGAGTGGCTCATTCAAATGAAAGAATGTGTATGTGTTAGTACCCGTAGGGAAAATACTCTTCTGCATTTGACCCATTCACCCAGTGAGGCAGTGGGCAGCCACCAGTGCAGCTCTCGGGGAGCAGTGTGGGGACGGTACCTTGCGATCACTGGCATTTATATTTTGAAAGTGTTTTAAAAAAGGTGGTATAAGTGGTTAGTGGTGCATCCCAGTTTCTTGTACACTGTGTATTTGTGTGCAACGGCATATAAAATTAAGAATGGACGTAGAAGATTTACAGGGCACTCTTCCTACACTGCTCCGCTTTCCTCTTTTCTTTCTCATCACACTCTGTTAAAATGAATTAGAAGGGTTTTTATTTTTTAGTATGAAGGAGTTAGCCATGGCAACCAGAAGCTTCACTGCTGACATAATAAGCGAGATTGGAAGGGCACTTTGAAAGCAGGGAACTAATGAAATCTTAAAGTATTTAGCTTTGTAAACAAACATATTGAATAGCCAGCAATAATCTGTGCAAATCTCATTTCTGATATTACACTTATGTTTTTGACCTTGACTCCTCCCCTCCTCTGTCTCTTGCTGTCCTCTGATTTAATTCATGTTTATTAATCGGGTTTTATTGTCAGACAGGTGACTGCGAATGTGGAGATTCTGACAATGAATGTGTGCTTCCTTTCAGGAATTATTTCCCCTGCATTGGCATTTTTTACCCTTCCTTTATTTTTCAGTAAACCCAAGCATTTCTCTATTTTATGATGATAAAGAAAGTGTTTTTCTTCGGTTCCCATTATTGTTGCCATTATTTATTTTTCATCCTTGTGCCTTCCCATCCTCCTTTCCCTTGCTTGCTCAGGCTAATTTTTCTTTTTCTTATCTCCCTGTTTGCAGACTTGTTGCTCGTGCGCTGTCCTCCCTGAGTCAGGGCTTTTTATTTTCACTTGTTTCCTGTACTCCATTCATTTCTCATCCATGTTACCCACTGACATGCCTTGTGTCAAATCTGAGAGTTGCGAGAATGCAATGACAACACGGGGCAGTGTAGTTCAAGGGCTTTATTCTTCTTACACGACGACGCCTGCAGTAGAACAATAACAGATTGTTTCATTACATTCTGACCTCTCTCATCCTGCCCTCTGCTGTGCCATGTTGTAGTTAATTGGTCAGCTTTTTGGCTCAGCACCAGGGCAATTCATCTCATTAACTATGTCCTAGTGATTTTTTTTGTGCAAGGGTATTTATTGCTTGTTTGTGCTGTGCTAAATGTTAATTATTTTGATATCTTACCATTTATGTCTGGTCGACTGCGAAGAGGTCATAGCTCCTGATGATAGAAAAGTTAATGTATTAGTTGTTTTGTTTTTTTTTAAGCCATGCAGTTGATCGCTGCACGTGTTAACTGTATGGCCCACCAGTAAGGCCAGGGTTTAATAACATCATATATCAGCGAGAGAAACACATCACTTCTGTAGTGCAGCTACATAAAGAGCTCATCTGGAGTTATAGCTTTCTACTAAACCGTGACCTCTCTCCTCTCCTCTTTGTCTTGCACTCTCCTTTCTCTCTTCAACGTTATCATTATCTCCTTTAATTCTCAATCACCTATCCTTCTGCTTTAACTTCTCTCTCCCTTGCATCCTCTGGCGACTTTACTCTTCTATTACTGCCTCTTCTCTTGTTCATTAACCATTTACCTTTGTCTGTCTTTTCTCATTCCTCTGCTTCATGGCTTCCTTTGCCACCTAGACATCTACCTTATTTTGCTGCAAAGCTGATTGCTGAGATAAATAACCCCTCTTCGGCTCACATTCACTTATCTCCCAGACTTTTCCTGCTTTTATCTCTCCCACTCCATGAATCTGTCCATCGAGCCAGCCAGGAATGCTTTTGGTGCTCATTTTCATCAGATTTGTGACTATAGCCTGCCCCTGTTTGTCCTGCGTGTTCATCAATCATCTCTATCTTTTTTTTTTAAGGTGCTTTCTTTTCTTCTGCTGCTCCTCTTGCTTTTGAAGGTCCCCACATTTTATTTCTGAAGTTAATCTTACCTCAGGTTAACATATAATTGTGTTAAAATATTCACATTCACCGCTGAGCTGTTCATCATTTTTCTTGTGACGCCTGCTGTGCTGAGTTAAACTATATCAAGTCACAAACATGGTCTATCAGTCCTTATAACTAAGTTAGTGATTAGTGAGTATCTAAGTGTTTGTGCCTTATTTTTTACTGTTCTTGTTTGACCGTGCTCTGCAATAAGATGGCAACATGATCAGGCTGTAACCTGCCTTGACAGCTGGGATCGGCTCCAGCCTCCAACGACCTTGAATTAGATGGATAGATGGATGGATGTTTAACCATGTTTTTCTCTCAACACAACTCTTCCCTTCTTATACCCATTCATAACACCATCACCTTCACTTCCCTTCACCATTTCTCCTTTATCTCTGA